TCGCTCTCCCACATAGCAAGCAGTTCGACTGGCAAGAACCAGAAAATGGAAAGTTGGTTTCAATGGTATTTACCATGTGTATACGGTAATAAATAATCTTCCAATGCACATTAGAACATACCGAAAAACTAAGAAAAGAGGCTTTCATCCCCGCTTCTCTGCATTTATTACTGCATTCCATCGTTTTGCCAGAAAAACTTAAACAAACAGCTTTCAAACGATGCAAAAAGTTTATTGCTCCTCTGAAGTGTCAATGTAAATAAATGCGTAGCTCATCGAGGGATTACGATAGCAAAAAAAGATTATCCCAGTTATTTTATTGGTAATCGGAGCAGATGGATTCAAATACATATAATTTACTATATTCTAATTCAACGGTCACGCAAACAGCACCTGTCCAGCAGCATGTGAGGGAGAAGCGTTTGTGGTGGGATGGGACAAACTGAGAAGCCTAAGGAATCACCCGATGAGGAAGTCAGTAGGGCTCAAAGCTCAAGGGGAGGGACCGCGAAGACTTTAAATAAGAAACGGCGAGACTGGTCAAGAAGAGTTCACGCCAAAGTCAAGATGACCACAGCAGCTGCCATGGATAGAATGGAGGCAGCTAACGAACAAGACCGATGGCTGAAGATCAAAGATAGGAAGAAGATGTTATATTGAAATCCGTATTCGATAGGGTCAAGCCGTAGCCTGACTTTTCGATACGAGCCAGGCTTTCGAAAATCCCTAAGAAGGGTACATACGAACAAAACTGTCGGCAAAACTCTGGCCTCGGACGGAAATCGAACCTGTATTTGCGCTTTCAGGGGACAATTATATCCCTGACATCACAGAGACCCCGATTTCCCTTGCCTTCTAACTGGCGAACCTTGTAAAACTTTCAGATCGCGTACTGCTGCGAAATAACAACAGCTAAGAATAGATCAAGCCAAAATCAGTATTTACAATTAATATTTGAACAAAATATTCGAGATTAAAAAGCCGCTGAAACGAACACTTGAGAAAAAATCATCCACGTCAAATTCTATGCCGAGACCTCAGCTAGGTTCGCGGTGACAGTTTTTTTTCTGAAAATCGAGAAAAATGGCTCTCAAACTTAGACGGGGGAAGAATAGTTCGTCTATTCGGAAAAAGGAGCAAAACATGCTGATGCAATGATGCGTCTCGCCTGAATAGGTTTTTGGCAGATTAGTCCTAAGTGGAGATTAGCCATGTGCTCTATGGGGGAGGGGGTACATAATTAAAAGCAATCTATTTGAGGCTAGCTGAATCGATTTGAAATCGATTCCAAACTTGTAGTTAAGGCATGGTGCGCTAATTCAGGAGCCTACGTCCGTGATGAAATAATTCTAAATTAAAAGCAAATAAAAAAAGAAAACAACAACAAAATAGTAAACTCAAAGCAACTCAAGCACTACAACGATTACTTACAAGTTCACTTTGGCTTTGTTTGTTTTTTTTTTGATATTTTACTACTACGTTTGAATTAATACTAGTTGCACTTTTCATTTGCAGTCATTCTTAACATTACTTTTACTTTTTTAATTTAATTTGTTTTTACTAAGATTTTTTTCTTAGAGTGATCTGACTTGATAGTTATTTATATAGCATTATTCGCCCAAAAGTAGCCGGGTGATTCGGGAGAAAAAATTATTTCCAAATTGGCTCAGTTACAGGGAAACAGCAAGAACGAGTAAAAGTGAGGCAAAGTGCTTTCAAAAGTGCTTCTCAATGTCGACCGGCCCTAACTAGACAAATGGATGTTGATGAAAAAGCGTAGCGAAAAACGATGTACGAACAAGGATGATGAGCTGGTGATGGTGTGATGAGTGTGTATTGGCATATGGGAGAGTCAGAGTGTAGGGAGAGGACGGGAGAGACGGGAATTATACGGAAGTTGTGTTTTGGAATCGATTCAACGACGCTAGAGATGTATGTATGTATGTGTGTATGAGTGTGTGTGTCTGTGTGTGAAAGTGCGGCTAGCACTATCAAGTGCCACTGCTGGGTGCACTCACTAAGGAAAGCAGTACGTATCGCCCGAATAAGCAGCTTGACCTGCTTGTTCCAATAGACTTGTTAACGTAGCCAATGCTCTTTGATCTCCTGGGGATGTCCGAGTGACCGATCTCAGACATGCGTGTGACCCTTACAGAACCCTGTGATCTTTGGCAATCGCTTGAGCCTCTGTGGTTGGCTTCTAAGATTGGAACTAAGCACCTTTTTTGGTAAGGCTGGTTATGAACCCGATCACCTTCTGAGTCACAAAAAAAAACTCAGAGCTATAACTACCAGCGAGCGAGCGAGGAAATTCGACCTTCCCAAATGTGGAGCTCAATTAGGAGAGCGCCTTCAGCTTTCAAGGCTCTGAATCTTAAGAAAACAAAATAGTGAAGTAGATTGGATACCTTGATTTTGGAAATATTGGAAAAATTTTTAAAATTAGATGGAATTCAAAGGATAGGGTTGAAGAAATTATCCATGAAAGTTTTAGGAGGAGGCCACAAAGATCAATTTTTTGAATTTCTAACATATTTGACTTTCTAAATTACTTCTTCATTCCGATTAATTAATGAAATGAAGGCCTGCCCAACCAACTCAATAACTTTTGACGGTGTTCACAAGGTTTCCAATCTCTCCAGGGCATCACTTATGACACCCAAAAACCCTCCCAAAACAAATGTAAACCCACGAGCTTTTATTCAAAGTGTGTAATATATTATTTGTGTAGAAATACGTCAAATGACTTGTAGTTAAAAAGATGATCATCTCCACTATTTTAAATATCTTTATTAGTAATACATAAAAGGATGCCCCACTAGGGAAAAAAGATATTTATGTCAAGATACCAGGCAGGCAAAAGGAATTCCAAATTTCATTTACGATTTCAAATGTATATTCTGATGTGCAAAACCTCCTGGAGGTATGGGGAATTGAACCCCAGCCCTCTCCCATGCTAAGGGAGCGCTGCTCCCATGCTAAGGGAGCGCTCTAAAATTTCCTGAAAGATATAAAAGAAGAAGGAGCAAAAGATTTTGGAGTAATCTCCTGAATGATATAAAAGAAGAAAGAGCAAAAGATTTTGGAGTCTGAAAGATATAAAAGAAGAAGGAGCAAAAGATTTTGGAGGTATGGGTAAAAGAAGAAGGAGCAAAAGATTTTGGAGGTATGGGGAATTGAACCCCAGCCCTCTCCCATGCTAAGGGAGCGCTCTACCACTGAGCTATACCCCCACGATGACACTACGCTTCTTTACGGCAGAAAAGATGACAGTTAGTGATAAAGGAGGAACATGCACTTTAATTGCAGCACTTCGAAAAACATCCAGGACATCTAAAGGACTCATTCAGTGGTTCCTTTTCTTTCCTACGAGCGAATATTTTGTTCCCCATCGGCCTGTGAAGCTTTAGGTGACACGGGGAGAGCGTAGAGCCATTCTGAGGCTCTCTCTGAACAATGGAATCCGATACGCCATCCAGTAGAACATCCAAGCCCCTCTCTCTCTTCTGCTTTCCCTACCCTTTTTACATAGACTACATGTCTGCACATTCATGTGCCTCTCAGAATGTGATTTGAATAATTATGAGCAGGTGCCACTTCCTGGAATCCTCCGCAAATGCAGACTTCCTCCTGAGATTTTTCCAGGGTTTTTCATCGGCTATCGAGAAAAATCCATCGAATTGGAAAAACTTCGCTTCAAGATTGTTTACGAAGCCCACAAATCAAATCGCGTCTTCAGTGTTGTTTCCTAAGAAGGAATTAAATGTGTTTTTGTTAGGCTTCACTTCCGAAGTCTTGCTGCCGTCGTGTCATGAATAAAATATAATTGAAGTAAACACTACTCTCAAAGAATTTGTAAATAAGAAGTAGAATAGATAGCAATAGAAAGCCGAAAGCTGTTGAGCTGTCTTCTATGGGCATTATCCTACCCAGCCCCATTAAATTTTACCTAGGCGACACCCATAAAAACAGCAAAATGGGCAAGAAAGTAGGGTTTGTTTTATAGCAAGAATAGAAAGCATCAAATCACCAAAGACCATTTCGGCCATTGAAAAATGTCCTACAGCTGAGCGATGGAACTTTGAGCAGCTAAGAGATGGCAAATCACTAGCACCTGATGCCATATTGTCAATGTGTTCAAACTGCCTTTTCTAACATGATTTTTAGCCACACCCTCTCATGCCTGCTCCCCTTTTAGCATATTTTTTTGCTTTTTCACTGCAAAAATTATTCAAAAACACCCTGACCTAGCGTTCTAGTCGAACACAACATTACCAATTACAAGGGATCCATCAACGATGAGAAAGCCCAATTTCTTTGAGGACCTTCGATAATTTCTTAAGGTTTTTCAGGCTTGCTACTAGTTGTCCAATGATTACTCAATTATTTATAAAACCGGCATAATTTGGATTACCGTAATCCAATTCATAGATAGAGTTCTCAGAACACATGAAGCATGTAGGTTTTTTGAAAAATTATTGGAACATCTTAAAGGGCTCTGAAGAGAGTGAGAGTTTCTCAGCCCTGAATAATGAGTACATATAGTGGGCTTGAAGGATCTCTAGATCTTTTCGGTTTCTGAATCCTTCGGAAACGTTTTAGGGACTTCTTTGTTCATGTTTCTGCCCTGGACCTAACCCTCTTAAATCATAAGGAATACAAGAGGCAGGGTGGGTACACTGAAACTGGTCTCACAGGAAATGATAATAACCGATAAGAGCTGGTAAGAGACCCCATAAGGCAGAAACAACGAAATTCGTTGCAGTCTTTTATTCAGCCAAGGAAATTCTGTAAAACTTCGGCATGTCGCTGTGAAGTGGAGGTGATATTATAGTAAGTGGCTGGTGATACAAGCTGATAATTGCCGATAAAAGCTGATAAGGAACCTCAGAAAGCAAAAACTAACGAAACTGGTACCAAATGTGGAACCCTGCCCTTTTCTTGCATTGATACTTGCCAAAGCCGCCAAAGCCGGAGATCCGAGTGGTAATGGATAGGGAAAGTACTTACCGAGAAAAAGATAATAAAATAAATCGGTCCTCTAGAGGTAACCTTAAACCATAGAACGAATGCAGGCCTGAAAATCAGTTGAATCCCCTGTGGAAGAAGATTGTGATGGATGGGAATAAGGATGGGTATAGAATAATGGGAACTTCCCCCCAGAAAGCACAAGAACTTAATTTAATATTCTCAATGTCCTTCGTATAGAATATTCATTTCACCTTTGGGCTTCTTTGAAGGGCAAATGAACGGAGCAAGGAAGGCTAGCCAGGATCTTGCGATAGCATCTACTTCTTGGGAAACTAGTTCTTGTTGAAGGTTGATTTTTCTTTGTTACAATTTCCATTTTCCATAGAAGTAATTTAAGGTAATGGGGTAGGCATGGGCTGTTGTGCTAAGTAACTCGGTTACGTCAAGCATGGTGAAGAAGTCAGATTCCTGATTCCTACTGGATCTTCTTGTTTTAGAAATGAGGTCAACCTTCCTTCGAAGTTCGATTAACTGGCTCCTGACTTATCCGGTGAAACAATAGACTTAACCAATCCTTTGAATGGTTCACGAAAGTTATTGTTACTGCACTTCCTGAACTAAAAAGGAAACGTGGGACCCAAAAACGGGGCTGGAGGTGTTCTAATGGTAGGTAGCAGATATTCCAAACTGAGCTAGGCTACCTGAGCTGTCTCCCCTTTCGGGTTTAGTTTATCGTACCATTCTTGCTTGGGAGGATAAGATCTTGGATTTAAGGGGGTTGGTCAGCACTCAAGATACACTCTTTAACCCCATATTTTTAAAAGGAGCGAGCCAGCGCCTTACCCGTTGGAAGATCAAGTGAATATTAAGTCCACAGGTGAGAAGAAACAGCAGCGAATATGTAACATAAGTAGATAAATAATCAATAAGTAAATAAGCAACTTGTTCTAGAGGCTATGAAATGAATATGTGTACTGTACATAGACAATATGGATAACAAAAAAGAGTAAATTCGAGATGAGAAAGGTTATTGAGTGGAAATTGTAAGCAAAAAACTAACTAGATCTCAGGAAGATACATAATTTCATTAACTTTCTTCCAGCGCTCATGCAAATGCTGAACACGAAGCTAAAAAGGGGAAGAAAATTCGAACGTACTGTGAAATGCTCTCGTTGACCCCTTGTTGAAAAGAGAAGGGCAATCAAATCTAGGAGAGCTGTCCATAGCCTCCCGCCTATTCGGGAAGCAGAATGTAAGTATACTTGTTTGGCAATGGCTCGAATTCAGAGAAACAATTTTCGTACATTCAAGGGTCTACAAGATTTTTTCGGTTCCTATATGCCTATCCCCTTGTGTTGTGCAAGGAAGGCGAATGGGAAAGGAAGAAGCCACTGGTGAGTGCAATTGGCATAGGCATAATTGCTGCCAGCCATGGGGCACATGTCGATAACGAGTGAAATTCAGTTTAGGCACTTGGGCACCGAAAAAACCCCTGGATTGCTTTGAAGTGTAAAGGGTGTGTTGGTGTCCTTTCATGCAAAGTGCTCGGTGGATTCTCATCTGAACGATTGTATGTTCTCACCTTTTTATCACCCCACTGCTGTCCGAGCCATAGACCTCAGAAGAATACCCACTGACAACAGTTCAGCGGAGGATTCATCAGTGAGAAATTCCTTCTGAGATGCTCGTGTGATGGAAAAGTAGAGCTTCTCCCGGCAACTTACCAAAAATATAACCCCACGCTTCCAGAAAGCATAAGAGGGCAAATGTAATGAGTCGACGTCCTGGACGCTTCTTGAGGAAAGCCGTAGTCGATGGAAACATAGAGTTTCAATGCGTGATTCACTCACATAAGGAAACTAATGGAATGTAGAGAAAGGGTAGATTGAAGCTTCTGTCAATATACCCAGCCGGAGCAGAGCTTATCATTGTGCCCGGATACTCCCCCGTCCACTAGAATGTCCTAGAAGATATGCGAGTAAACTGGTGGATGATTGAGCGAGTACTGACCAATTCCCGGCCTATTTGCCGGCATTGAGTGGCCTAGTGCATCCGATCGTGGAAACTCATAAAAAGAGTCCCATGGAAATTAGAATTGAGACGAGTGTGCCATAACATAAAGGAGTTTGAAGAACACATAATTGATGTTGTACTATGAAGCTGTCCGGGGAGGAAAATAAGCGTCACGGTCCTCTAGTTACAGGGCCTAATTGATGTATCAAAGATGAATTAGGACGATCAAACTGAAGCGAAGGAGTGAAATCTTTCAGGTGGACGAGTCACTTCGTTCCAGTCTTGTTCTCGGCCAGCGAACATGAATCTAGCGGTATTTTGCTTGTTTATTTGTTTATTTACCAGTCCAACAACCTCTGAACTGTAGAAGTGAGCACTGACTGCTGACCTAAAATAGCCGGTAATTCAGTAGCAACCTCACCACAAGCGAAAGTTCAAATTAGGAAAGGAAAAAAGTTCAGTTTAGGATCTGTCCAAAATGCAGTAAGTTCCTATTAACACTGCTTACCCACAGCTTAGCTGGACCTCATCCTTCCCTGAGCAGTAGACTAATGGATAAATGACCGCCCCTGTCAGCAGCACACAAGTGGAACAGCAAAAACTGCTTACACAATCTTCCAGCCAAACATGGTTCATCATCAGCCTTCTCTCCTACCTATCGCTTTATTTTTTCGATCCTGTCCACTTTGACATTCGATTAATGAAGGAAACTGGACGCTCAGTCGAGATGTTTTGTTGTGATGTGAGTGGTTTGCCGTTTACGGGAGCCCTATTTCCCAGAGGACACCTACTGCTTCGCTGTTTTGTTATACCCCTTCGTGGCTTTCTCCCGTTCTCCAGACATATCTATTGAAGAGCGATCAACGACCCACTAAAACCTTCCATCTTCCGGGGAGCCCGCTTCACCTTAGTCCATTAAGTCTACATCACTGTTAGATTGGAAGGTGTCCCTAGGGATGCTCCCAACTCAGGATGATGTACGGCCGTCAGGCGGCAAACTAATACATGACTCAGAAAAAAGAGCTGAATGAAGAAGAGGGGAAATACGCCTTCTACGTCGTTCTAGAACTGTAGGAAGTGAAATGGGCTCTGGAAGTTCCTCCTTTCAACCCTTCCAGTTCGAATCACACATCCGACGAGCGTTCAGAATGGCAGAGGAAACAGGATGCGGTGTGAAATTAGTAAATTGCGACGGATAGAGGTTGGGGATTACGGGTCAGAGAAAAAACATGAGACTCTATTTTTAAAAAATTCAGAAAATTAAAAAATGGTTTGGGCGATCCCAGTCCCAACTTGAGCTTAACCATTCGATTTTAGTTGAGACGATAATGGTGGTGGATAGCGCATGTGGAATTTACGGTGAACTGCTCAGCAGCCTCTATACAAATTAGTATTGTATCCTGCTAGGCGAGAAACGCCCCAATATCAGATCACGGATGGAAGAAGACTAGGTTGGTCCATGGGAGCATCCATCTGGGATCCATCTAGGGTGGGACAGGACTGTGCGTGTACAAGTCCACAACAACATCTTTTCCAAATATGGATTCAAGATCGAGAAAACATGAAGGTCATAAGAAGGAAGTATGTCAGAAACAAATACGAGGAAGTGCTGGAACGTCCTTACACAATCCAAGCCAAATTTCCCAGACAAGTACCTGAACTAGCCGGCAACGGTTCTTGTAAGGGTCATGAGTGGCTTCAAGTGTCACGAAGCTCTTGAGAGCCACATTCATGTTCCCGATCTCGTATATCCAGGAAAGTCTGACATCAGCAGGAGAATACTAGGGGATTTCTGATGGAGAAGTACTATATCACAAAGATCCGGATATAAGAAATGGATCGAGGAGGAAGGTACTCATAAATAGGTGAATTAGCTCGATGACCTTCAAGTATCAAGAGAAATATAGTAGACAGGGCAATGGATCAGTTAATTTTTCAGATGCGCCATGCATTATAGTTATATTTAAAAAACTGGCCACAATTTGATTGAACAGATAATTTGTTTGGTAACCGGCAGGGTGCAGCTGGAGCTCGAGCAAGGATTCTCATCCCCATAGACTGCCACTTCTTTTGGGTAAGATTCCATAGGTGTACCTTTTCCCGATTCTGGTCAAAGAGCTCGTAGAAAAGGAACAAATTGAAAAGACTCGCGTAGCTCTAGCCGTTTTTCAATGTTTGGGTATCCCAAGCGAGTTCCTGATTGTCCAGTCTATGACCCCTGACGATGATGAAGTTGCCGCCGAGGTGTTCAAGACAGAATGAATAGAGAAAGCGGTCGAGACGGGTTTTGTGTCAGTGTGGTCTCGTCCAGTTTTCGGGACAAGTCGAAATCACACGGATCTATCGTTTATGCGCTTGTCCTCAATCCAGGTCAAACGTTCGTCATACATCGATGATCATGTGCGGCTCTGTTCGGAAGCAGTGCTTTCTGACCACTTTCTCTTCCTTGCTTCCTTTCAAACTTCACCTTCTTGTCTTCATTTCGACACACAGAGCTTTCAGCTTTTCTTCCTTTTCAGTTCAATGCTGTCCAATTCCATATTTTCAGATGTATTGCCTAAGCACAATACTACTGCTTACCGTTGCCGGCTGCGCGTTGTCCATGCCTCCTCCAGCCGGCCTGAATCTGAAGCCAGCCAAAGCCGTCGGCGAACAACAACCAAGTGCCCCCCAGGTCAGAGTTCAAGTTTTTTTTACAAGGTTCAAGTCTTTTCTGAGCTGCGCCGTATTTTATATAAATTCCATTTTCTGACAACCTCCTCTGCCTTGTATGAACGCAAAGCCTGAAAATGTTCTTTTGTTCTACACAGTTGAAGAATTTCGTGTCCGGCCCTCCCTGGGCCCGCGCCTGTGCAACTGACGTGAAAATCGGTTAGCTCAAAAATAATTCTGATTTAATCAGTATAAATTGACAAAGCTATTCCAAGGCTTTCTTCTTGGGTGCTCGCCCAGCGAAGTACTTGAATTCTATGATTTCGATATTTTTATGTACTGACGAGGTATATAAAGTTCAAAAAATGAAATATCTATATGAGCTAAAACTACTATATAAACGGCTGTTGCTTTTACCAGTTAAACTTCTAATCTATAAGGCTTTGGCTCTACACGAGAGATCTACACGTGTAGATCATTTACTAGCGATAGTCGGCTTGGATTACGACAGACTGCTCTTGTAGATTTAATTGGATAAGTTAGGCCGGTTCACAGCAGAACTGCACTACTTCTCATTCCTTCAGAAAATTGGAAGTGAAAACTATTCAGTAAAGTGTCCACTCATTTCAGAACAAACTTTACGCTCACTCTTCCTACATGAATTTTCAAACCCTTTTCTTTGTCCATTTACAATTATTTCGACGAAGAGGTGCAGTAGTGTTCAGAAACAATGGCTGCTTGCAATTCACAAATATGATGAGCTCGATCCGCTCTGAGACATGAAGCCCTATTCTCTGAGAATCTTTGCCTGGAATAGAAATCTTGAAAAATCAAACCTCCACTTTAGACTTACCTTAGCCTACTTTCAAAGGAGTTATAGCCTAATCACTCTTTATAGTAGACTTTAGGTCCGATAAGGTGCTGCTAAGCTGTTGTGCCAAACAAGTACTATTACGCACATGGTCCGAGGATCGGATTCTCGATTGATCATTTGCCTGCGTAGCCTTCCTCCCTTTAGGGCAGATTAATGGTATCAAACTCGTCGGGGTGGCTGAAAGCACTGACTTGTAAGAACATTGGAGGCTAAGACTAATTAAGGTGACAGAAAGGGTAAAACCTGACTGCTAATTCAGAATCGTAGTGGCGTATTGAATGCGTATGTTGCTTATACAATGAAATGCGATGGCCAGCAGATGAACAAGTCATTGTTCTCCCAAACAATTTGGGCGACATAAGAGGTATGGATGACTCAGTTGACCTGGACGAGTAACGATCCGGAATTTCGTCTTTCGACTTATTCGAGAGATTGTGTGCCGCCGCACTCAAAAAGGGAGTGGTCAGAGCCAAAAACTTCATTTTTTTTTTCGCAGAACTTTGATTAAAAAGTAACTGGACGTGGGATGTAGCGCTCAGAACCGAAGCATCCAGGTGCATAGCACTCAATCAGCCACAATGTATTAGGCTGTCATCCTGTACTAGTTTTCACGACTTGCTTTATCTACAGCAGAAAAACCATGGCTGCAAGCCCACGGGTACTCTGAAAATATATGGATGGCTTTTTCATAAAAAAGTCAAGAATACCACAACATTAAGTGAACACGCAATCCTCTCTCATCCCATCCACTTGGATGAACGGTTATTCTAATTCACCACGCAAAGCAAATTATTCTGAGGATTTGCATTTACAAAATAGCGCAATAAAACTAGCTCGTAAATCATCTTGCTTAAGGCCATACTATTAGCAAATCGAACCTCAATTCGCTGCATTTAAGCAGTATATCCGGAGGGACAATAGGAGTATGCAAAGTGAGACTGGGCGTTTTCTACCTTAGTGCTTCTGGGGGTAAAGGGATTGTAGTCGCAAAATGTAAGCTGGGTTCAGTAAAGCGGTGAATTCTGAAAAAAAAAACTTTTCAGTATAGCCTATAACTCTTTTCGAGGGAGAGATGCCGCTGTCTAGGTATTCATACCTGCTCCATAGCTTTGTAGTGAATAACCATCTAGAAAGATAACCCCGTTAAAGATGCGGAGTAAATACAAAGTATCTGAGATTTCGTAATGGCTGGTTCTGATGACTACAGCTTCTTGAGAAAAAAAGCGCTCTCGAAAGATTGAGACCCCACTGCTCCGTTCAGAGACGTAGATTCCGAAATAGGCAGACTTATCCTGATCTAGATTACCGTGGCTAAGTCGGAATCGCTTAGATGATAACACATGTGATTAGAAGTTTTTGTAGGATGGATTAATCAATCAAATGTTTTGGTAGTCAGCTTTATAATTCTTAGTAGAATCGGGTGCAGGGCGATGACCCTTGCTGCCATATCATACCTTCTTGAAGTAAGGTAAAGTTTTTGGTGTTAATCAATCCCGTCTGAGGGATGGGCCCCCGCACTCGACTCCCATTCAGAATCGTAGTGGCGTAATGGGTGCGTATGTGGCCCATACAATGACTTGCGTTGGCTAGCCGATGTACAAGTCAGTGCTTTTATCCTCCCAGACGAGTCTGGTACCAATTCACCGAACCCGGAGGGTTGGAAGGCTTGGTTGGCCTAGGCGGGCATCGATATAGGATTCGAACCCCTGACAGTGCGTGTGATATGATGCGCCACTTGCCACTACACCACCTCCGCCCTTTCATATCTTCTCATGAACAAGAATTTTCAAAGTTACTCTAAAAAACTTTTCTTTTCAAGTGATGCATGCTGATCCATGAAAACAAGTCCTTCCGGTCGATCATTGAATAGTAAACAAACAATTCAGAGTAAACAATAACAAACGTCACAGACGATTGTATTGCGGGTGTAATGTCTCTATTTTAGAATAACTCGCCGTCAGAGACAACTAAAGAGCCACCAAATCTACGTCTTCGCTCCCGAATGATGGCCTCGCTGAACGCTGTGAGTTGCGAAGCCCTTTGTCACCTTACCTGTTACTTTTAGTTGATTTTGTTTTCCGACTTGTTTACGGGCTATCTTTATGTTGGCTTATCTTATTCGTCTGATCATTCCATATTAAGAACGACACGAGCAAAAAGGAGTTGGGTCCAGTTGGCTCCCAAACACTGATTCTCACAAAGAATCGCAAATATAAAAAGGTTTGCCGTTCAATATTGTGATCTTTCAAACTTTTCATTTTTAGTTTTGCTTTTTTTCTCTGCCTGTAACCTAGTTAACAGTGAGATTATGGATTTTTAAAAATTTTTCAATCCAACTGTCCCATCCCATGAACCTGACTTAAATTCTTCAACCATTTTTTTCCTTACCCTTCTTTTTGATTTTTTTCTGCTTTTCCATTATCCAGTGGTTAGAGAAACTGAAATATCTTTGAAAAAAAAGCAAGTGCTAAAAGAACTGGCCGAAAACACGCCAACCATCTTATGCTCTCCATTGAAATGCGTGGGCGATTGGTTCCTCATAAAGGCCCTTCAATGATTTTTGAAGCTAACCGATTTTCACGTCAGTGATATATGCTACCAGAAGAGCACAACGTTTCCTTTTCCTTCTTACCTACAAGTTCCACCCCATAAACCCTGAAGTTGACTCTCGGATTGGTAAAGTCTCATTCTTCTGAATACTGCGGACAGAGATTGTTTTTTCTCTTCGCTTCAGCCAGTCGTTTACTTAATTTACTACACCGACTCGAAGCCGGAGAAGCCGTTTTTTCTGTTTCTTTCAGTCGGTTTTTTAGTCTATTTCATATTTTCAATCTTGTTATTAAGCCAAATCCTCGATCATTCTTTGAAGTAGTCACTGAGGAACCGATCACCGCCGAACCATCATCATCGAGGCCACCAGTGAAGACGGTAAGGAGTTTCGATTCGCAATGAAAAGCTTCTTGAACTAGATATTACTTGTTCTTGTAGATGTACTTGTTCTTAAGTAGGATGTAGTCCTTGAGGGTGAATCCTCGTTTATGGGAGAGTTTTGGGTTCATGTGAGAACCCAGAGCCATGCCCTGCTTACCTAAACGAGCTGTATCTTGCGTGGGTTATCATTTGGAGTGAGCATTTTATGAAAATAGAAATTCATACGGGGTTAAACAATAACAGAGTTTGATTCGGACGATGGAACGATCCGGGTGACTCAGACTCAGGTCCTGGATGGGTGAAATCAAAGATAAGCTGTTAAATGAATCCGGGCTTGAAGAAGAGCCGTCTCATTGTTAGAAGGCTCGAAAGACTGTCGGAGAAGATTCGTTTCAAGAAAATCTTTTAGCTCCCTTCATCCGCTAATTACGGGGTGAATCCGGTACTGCAGACGAATTTCGTTGATTCGAGGGGTCGTGTATTGAAAAATGTCGTCTCAATACCGATTCGTGTGGGTGATGCTCAAATCAAACAAGTCAGGTTCGTGATGTTCATGGGTCTTCCGAAAAAAAAAACTCTCCCATTACCCTCACAAACTATCTTTATCGTAGATCTTTCGGAACTTCGAAGGTATAGGGGTCTGTTGTTGGTCCCTTAATCCATGATTTATTATTTACAGCAGTAACAGTGCAACAGCAGCTTTGGTCGAAGGAGAAGCTGAGAATGGTGTTCGTGTGAAATTTGGCCAAGCGCCACTCCGCCTTTTGTAAAGTACTAGCACATAACTCATTAATAAATCTTGTCACACTGGTCATTCCCATTTCTTTTTGTACATTCTGCTCGAACAATTCAGC